CGCCTCGTACGCGGATCACAGCGACAGGAAAAGCTCCGCGGGGTATATTTGCCAGATCTTCGGGGGACCTGTGGACTGGAAGGCCACAAAGCAGCGGACAGTGACGACGTCGACAACCGAGGCCGAGCTGCTGGGATTATCAGACGCCGGCAAGGCCCTGCTGTGGTGGAAACGGTTATTTATGAGAATCGGATTCGAGTATCCGGGGGCGCTGACTATCGAGTGCGATAACAGCCGGACGGTGGATTTGATAAACGCCGAGGACGCACCTTTTGATACCAAGCTGCGGCATGTGGATATCCATGGTCATTGGCTGAGACAAGAGGTCAAGGAAGGGAGGATACGTATCAAATGGGTGCCAACAGCTCAGATGGTCGCTGACGGCTTGACAAAGATGCTGCCGAGGCAGAAACATGAAGCTTTCGTGAAGATGCTGGGCCTGACGGACGTGCAGCACCTAGTTGAGACGGAAGGCTAGTCCCAATCGGGAAATAGAGGTTGATTAGCAAAGAGTGCAGAAATGGAGGAATTGGGTGGTTTTGTGCGGATTTGGGCAGGCCCGCGCGGGGTAGGTCAAGATTCGGCAACACCCGTACGTGCTCTGACAAGGGATTTCGGCCATATTTGTGCGCAGATTTCTCTATGTGCAGCGCTGCCAGAGAGTGCCACCGCTGAGGGGGTGTGTCGCTATGGAGAGATGGTAAATTAGGTAATCTAGTGAGCTTAACGTGAAGTCCGGTTGCGCGGGCGACCCGGTTGAGCGAGCGACCCCACCAAACTTCGAAAAATCATTAATTTTGAACTACCACTAAAACCATCAAATAACTCAAAATTTTGCTAATAAACACGTGAAGGGCATCCAGGATATGTATGACCTTTTATCCCACAGCCAGAACATGTCACATGCCGCCGAACCGAAGGCATAGAAGGTAAAGTAGGCTCAACAACCGCTCTTGTAGATACCTCCGGCAAATATATATCTTTACCATTATCTTCATCCTCATAAACCACATCATCTTTACCACTCTCTAGACCCCCAAAGATACCTTTCTGGGTAGTAAACTTATGTATGGTCTCTCGTTTTTTTGTCTGTTTCTTGTTGGTAGCCTCTAATTGGGTACAGCGATTCTGGAGAAAAATATGGTGGTGGACCACTTTGATAGTCATATCATAGGTCTTCTGAAGCTCTCTTTTTGTTGGTGAAGAGAGGATTGAAGAAGAAGATTCTAGACCTTTTTTGATCCGAGATTGTGATTTTGTGAATTTTGAGAGAGTCCAGAGAGTATTTGGATCACTATCACTGCCGGAAGAGAGTGGTCGCTGTGAGACAATATCGAGAGGAGGAAGGGAATCCAGGCGCACATTTAGCTTTTCCAAGACTTTATTAGCATCAAATGGTGCTAATCCAGTAGCTGAAAAGCTATTTTGTATAGTAGAAGTCTTAAAAGCACCAATTCTCGCATCAGCGATAAGTTCAAGAAAATCTTCCTTATCAATAGAGTTCACTCCATTCCGCATCAAGGTTGAAACCGCTCCTCCATAAAGCCTCTTCAAAACCGAAAAACAGCCCACATCCAAAGGTTGTAAAAGGTGGGAAGCATGAGGAGGTATACAGATTGCGATAATTTGGTTTTCTTCACAAAGTTGGTCAAATTCGGGGGTCAAATGACTCCCATGACCATCGAGGACCAGTAGGCAATATTTCCCCACTCTTGGCCCAATATTTGGGATAAAAAGATGTTTCAACCACCATAAACCAATTGTATTAGTAGTCCAGCCATCTTCACTCATAGTGAGACGTGCTCCTTCTTGATTTAAAAGAAGATAAGGGCGTAGATGCTCTGGAAACTTTTTTCCCTTGAAAATGAAGAGTGGAGGCATAATACTTCCAGAAGCTCGAATACACTCGATTATGGTTACCCACTCGCGATTTCCGGCTTGTAAAAGAGCTCTTTTCCCGTGGTATTCTGCAGAAGTGATAATCTTTTGTGTTGCGCCGATACCCATAGCAAAACCACTCTCATCAAAGTTAAAGATATCGTCCGAGACAATACCCCACTTTTCAATTGTTTTTTGCACCGAATCAAACCATGGTTTAATGATTCTAGGGTCTTCTGAAAGGGCTCTCTGATAGTCGTATTTGCGAGAGAATCGAGTAGAGAGATTTGGGCGTCGTTTGATAAATTCAGCAGGCCAATGATTACCCACAGTAGAGGGCGTAGTTTTTCGGGCATAAAGTAGCAGATTAGCCATATCTCGCAACATAGGCAAAGTAAGAGCTGCCCCTCTAGAATCCATATCCAGTAGCCATTTTTCAATCGATCCTTCCTCAATTTCGGTGAAAATAAAGCGATTGTGTCGCTTTTCAGTAGCAGATTCACGCCCATTAATCCGTGCCTTCAAAGTTGAGACAGGGATATCAAAGGATCGTGCAGCAGCCGCAGCAGAGGGATATTTACCATCTTTTATAGCTTTTATAGCTAATAAAAGACGACCCTCCTGCTCTATTAGCTTTTTTTTCTTATCGGAGCGCTCAGGGGGCATTCTTGTTATGGTTGAAGAAGACGTATTAATATGGAAGTGGATTTTTGGTGGGGTCGCTCGCTCAACCGGGTCGCCCGCGCAACCGGACTTCACGTTAGTCATAATCCGCACATAAGAACCATGGTTCGAGGGCGGGTAATAAATCAGACAATTACACGATCGAGTACGGACCCCATTGGTCGATTAAATACGTCCGTTTACGTGAGCCGACAGCTTAGCTGAATCACGTGGGCCATACAAGGATTCCTGATAAATGAGCATGTAGGGTATTCAGCTTGGAGGGATACGACCAAAGTATGGCTATTTGACGCATTATCAGCTGTAATAGCCATAATTCGGTCTGATAAGTCATATACTTCGATAGTCGTTTGCACTACTTTTGCAAGGTTTTCACCAGAATAGATCCCTGATAGGGGCTCAAACCCTAAAAGCACTTCTCTATACTCCCATGATTCATTTAGAAAATAGCCAGTTATAGCCATAAATGCCTGCTGAAAAGGGGAGGTCCAACAATCAAGGCTAAGCGAGAGCTTAGAATCAGCTGGTAGGGTATCGAGAATAGCCCTCTGTCGGGTAAGTGTCTCTTGTTGTAATAAGCGTTGAATCTTCCGAGCAGAGGGGAAAGATGGGATCGAAGGTGCTGATTGGGTAAGCTATAGAAGATTCCGGAAGTGTAGGCTTTCGATAAGGTGAAAAGGGAGGCGTAGACTAGTAATAGTAGTCAAATGTTGTTTTTCCCATAGATCGTTAGAGAAGGGTAAGGTTGTTTTATTGGTTGGGGTCTATTTGAGAGCTGGTTAGCTTTTTCGGTCGGAAAGATAGGATGAAAAGATCAGATAAAAGTAGAAAAAAGCGTATTTTACCACTTTCTGCATAAGATGCTGAATACTAGGGCGCTTTACCCTTATTAGGCAACTCTGTAAATGCCGCCGGACTGTATTTGTACCAGTTCCCTTCCAATTAGGGTGACCAAGTAAGGTATTGCAGTGAATACATATAACCTTAGGTTCTCCTGTCTGTAGGCTAGCCACTTGCTGTAGACTTACCCAAATATCAGAAGATAGACGCTTTTGGTCCCATTTCATGGAAACCCTAGCTGATTTGGTCCCATACTGAGTTTTCAGCCACCAATCAACAAAATCTTGACTTTCTACCTTTGCCCAGATAGCATATTCAAGATTTTGAAGTTTAATGGTTTGAACTGATGGTGGGAGGGGTGGTGGGAGGCATATTGGCTGGAAAGATGATATAAAATCAGATGGATCAATACTATCACTATAGAGTGATAATTGGCTTAGTTGAGACATATTGGGTATGTAAGGGGTAAGTTAGAGAAAAGTGAGAGAAGAATAAGAGAAGAATGAGAGAAGAGAGGATATGATAAAAGGGGTAAATTATGCTAAGTGGGGCTAGTATCTACTGAGAAAAACTGTCGAAGTCCAGTAATTCTCACCTTTTATCCTCCTAATTCTTCTACAATTTTTAACTATTTATTATAAATAAAATAAAGGATTCAGATAGTAGAGGGGCTAATTTATCAAATTCTCCTTTAAAAATGCTAAAAAATATACTTTTGGGGTAAATTTACTACCAAAGATAGTATTACCAGAAAAGTGGTGAGGGTATACATGCAGTAAATATATATCCTTATACTTAAGTAGTATTATCCACTACTATTCTCTAATATAACCTATACCCTGCCCTTATCCTTGAAAAGAGTGATTAGATATATAAAGATAGTAGTTATCTATCTATAAACAGGAATATTTCATATAAATACAATAGAGAAGATGGATAATAGGGTAGGTGGTATGCGTTTTAACCAAAACAGGGGTAAATAACAGAATTAGTTTCAGATGAGTCATAAGGTTATGCAAGGAAAATCAGGCAGAAACCAGTAAATTCAGGCACCTATGGGCTTTTTTAGGCCCATGGGCATGCCCATCATGGACATGTCCATGGAGAAGTCTAGCCATGACGTCGATGCCGATAAGTAACTGAGCTTTGAGATCGTCAACGAGGTGCGCTTCGATAGTCAGTTTAGCAGCGGCCTGGCCATATGTGGCATGCTGGCCCAGTATATATAAATCGATGGTGATATAACCGTTTGACATATACTTAGAGCCGATTCCTGAGACTGGGATCGGGGGCGAAATCCGTTGGATGGTCGTGTCGAGAGACTTAACGAGCTTGGTGTCGATTAAAGTCATAACGTAGCCAGAATTAAGATAGGAGGTCACCACTTGGTCGGGGGCCATTAGGCTAACTATGGCAGTAGCGTAACGCCATGACCGGAACGCGTAGCCGCTATCATATATGTGCTAAGCCGACGAGTTAATGATCGGGACTGAGCACGCGGCGAAATTCATAACTGGATCAATCGGAGTAGCCGCTTTCGGTCGGCAATTCTCAAAGTGAGTATAAAGCTGATTGTTAGAGGGAAAAGCGGTATCACACTATAAGTAGGACACGATGATATCCTCATCTAGGGCGTAGGCTAAGGTAGGGAAATCACTAGGCCTATCCTGTGGAACGTCTGCGCCGTCGTCGTAGAGGTCGTACTGGTCATTGGCTTGGTAGGCCTTAGGCTCGGCTGAGTTATTAAACAGTTTATCCTCGATGTAGGGGAGCGCGATTGGCTCTAAGCTTCATCCGTGTCGCCCGGGTTGGCGTCCGCGAGGAGGGCCCTGGGGCGGTTATACGCTTGGCGATTGTTCTGTGATGGGTTATATGGCTTGTCCGAAAATAGAAGCTAACCTCGAGGAGCTTATAGAGCTGCCTAAGCTTGGCTAAATTGCTGTGGCTAAGGTCGGTACTGTGTGTAGACCTGACGCGAGGGCTGCGAAGCCTGAGACTGAGAATCTTAAGACTGGGGCGGCGGGGGCTGGTGAGTCTGGTACTGGGTCTGGTACTAAGCTTGGTAGTTTTGCTGTGAGACGGGCTGTAGCTGCTGCTGGTACCTAGACCTATATTGGGTCTGCGTACTGGTCCGGAGTGGCAAATCCTGACGCCATTACTGGTTAGTGTTGGTATTAAAGCGCGACTTGTAGCCAAGTTGCGGACGGGGGGCTTGGCGGGGAGGCTAGGTAGACAAACGGTTGCGGCTTTCTTCGGATTAGCGATGCTAGTTCTCGTAGCAGAAATCCAAACCCTTCATGAAGTCCTCGATTTTGTCGCTTAGCCGGCCAAGGTCACGCGCCAAGGTAGCATCGATGCTCATCACGATTCTGCAGATCTGGTCCTTGGGGTCAGTCATACCAGTAGACCTCAGCAGGGTGAGCATAGTCTGTGCGTGAGATCGCGCTGAGCGGTGCTCGCGAACTTGGGTCCAGTCGTACTTGTAACGGTCAAGCTTAGCAAGCGTTGCTATACGGTCGGGTTTAAAGCGGTCTCTGAGTAGCTTAAACCAGCCATCGTCAAGGGGATAAGCTATAATATATTCTTCTCGTTATCTGTCAGTTCCTGGGAATACCAAGCCAGTGCTTCAGCCTTTAGGCACGAGTGGATATTGGCGCGGACGACACGCTCGGACTTAAGCCGGACCAAATCACTGAGGCGGCTGATGAAGGTGAAATCGTCAGAGTAATGCATGTTGTCTCTAACTAAGGTGAAACCGCCGTCCTTATCGTCTAGGCCCGGATTAAAGAATCCGATTTCAGCTGGCTTCCACGACGTATCTGGCTTATCGTGGGGAGCGAGGCCATCGTGGGTAGGGCTGCCACGGGCCGGGTTGCGAATCAGTGAAATAAACTCGGGGTTGGTAAAAATCTCAGTGAGTATCGCTTGGACATTAGAGCGCCCGTTCTGGTGCTCGTTGTTAGCCATCCTAGGGATTGGCAGTAACTGACTAGGAAAAAATCTAGGTATAAGTAGAGGGTCAGTGGAGGCTGAAAGATCAGCGGCAGCGGGTGGGGTCCCACAGGAAAGATTCGATTCAGGTTCAGCGGAGGCTGGATCAGCGGTAGCGGGTGGGGTCCCGCAGGAAAGATCTGAGTTAGGGGAAACCTGAGTGTACGGTAACCGTACAGGGGAGAAATCAGTGAAGCTGATAGTGCTGCGTGAAGGAGCAGCGGGAAGTGACCGAGTTTGTTCGGTCTGAGGGGTAGTAGGACGGGAAACTGGCACAGGGGAAGAAACAGATATACCCGCGATGGGCGAGTCAAGGTGACGTTCTGGCTCAGACGAGTCAAGCTGGCGTTCCGACTGACGAGCGTAGTTTCGAGGACGGCCAAGAGGACGACCAGGCTCCGAGTCTGATGCAGGTGGATCAGGGGGGCAAAGGGGATTTGAGAGACGAAGGAAGTTCTTCGTGGCTTGGTTTAAGCAGGAACGATCGATAGGCCAGTCAACTGGGAAATCAACGCAACCTGGCAAGCGGGACGAAGGCACCTTCCCAAAACATGAGATCACGTGCTGGACACGGAAGAGAGTGACAGAGTCAAAATCCTCAACCCAGGGGGCAGGAAGGTCAGCCAGGGACGAGCTGATATAACTATCGAGCTGCGAGGCGAGTATCAAAGCCGATCTTGATGCTTTGTCCAGCGAGTCCATACAAGCTCGGGACAGTGGGTCCAGGCGCGGCTTGTGAGTGGTTCGCAGGGTGGTCAGGGGGATTGGGATTGGTGCGATCACCGCACCAGCGCAGGCTCGGCGCAGGGGAAAAACGGGGCCAATACCAATCGGAGGACCCGAAAGAAACGTAACTAGGACGTGCTACCAACTGTTACGTTGATGGAACGAAGGGCACTGAACCAGACGATAATGAGTAATAAGCATGGAATAGAGTAAAGGGTCATCAGGAAGAACTAAGCTACGGAACGGTCACGTGTTGGCTTATAATGGGTCACGTGCTGTAACAGTTCTGCTGCGGGATCTGATCCCGATTCTGATGCCATTGATCGCGGCAAACGGAGCCGTGGAATTAGCCGTTCTTGCCTGTCGAGTTGCAAGGCAAGAATCCTCTAGTGTGGTAGGGTGCACACGAATTGCATACACAGTCATTCTTCAGGTGATGGAAAAGAAGGGGGAAAAAATCGGTGGGGGGGCGACGAAACTCTTGTGGACTTTAATCATCGACCTGACAGTATAGTAGCCCGGATGAAATACCCGCGACGCCATTGGCGGTCAAAATGTTGGTCAGAATTTTCAGCTCGTATACCACAGCCTGGGCATATTAAAATATAGTGGGAAAACTTATCTTCGGCATTTTTGTGTCATATGACTCTAGTTAACTACGTCCTCGGGAGTCTCTCGGGAAGAATCAAAACACTTATGATCATCCCATTACTGTTGGAGACATTGTTATCACCGCATTCCTGATTTTGGGCTGATGTTCGATCTGTCGGCTCACGTAAACGGACGTATTTTATCGACCAATGGGGTGCGTTCTCGAATGTGTAACAGTCCGATTTCTTCTCTCCACCCCTACCATGGGTTTTGTGTGTAAAGCTGACTAATAGTGAGCTATTTACATAATAATTCATATCTCCCAAGGCGACACGATCGCCTCGTCGGCTGGCATAAGGCTAAACCTAAATAGGCAGCTTTACTGCAATTATCCATGGCCCTGAGTTACACTAACCTCTACCTTGGGTCCTTGACTTAAGTGATGCATCAATTTTTTATTTTTATTTTTTCTCTCTGCTCTGAGAGGGGCACTTTCCTGGATTGCTCCTTGGGATTTTGATGGATCAATCCAATTCAGTTCCTTAACCCCCTTTTCCTTCAACATCCACCTCTCCCACGCCGTCCACGAGGGAACGAGCTTTATCCTAGGGGCCGTCGACTACATCGAAGATGACTTTAATCATGACAAAGATTCTTGTGCGAGAACTTGGAATGGGATTGTTATGGATTCTTATAAACCGACTTTCAATTATTGTTGAAGAAATAAGGAAGAGTCTATCTGTTGAAGTACAGTGATTAAAGTCATCATCTATTGATCGCTTACATGGTTTTGGTCTCCGATGTTGAACGTTGAGTACCAACAATGTAACGAGATCGTCTACCTACTGTAGTGGGGAGACTCGGTCCCTGTACGGATTACCATATCGTTGCGGGTCATATTTCGTCATGTAAGGGAAACGGTCATATTAATACGAACTTAGGACTAGTTACAGAATACACACTCTTACACACCTCTCACCTTTGACCTTTGTCGAGGGATCCACTGCTCTCCGAGGGCGACCTTCGGTCGTGGTGGGTTTTGCTGAATACATCCGATTCGTGCGTCGTCAGAGCGTACAGCCAACGAGCGTTCCCCTCTTCACTACATATCGCCGAAGGTGAAGGAGGAATAGAAATGGTAAAGAGCCCAGCGAGCGATTTAGCTCCCGTGGTTACATTCTTTCTTTACCGCTTCCTTATTCTAACAAATAAACCCCGATCTGCCCATAAAACCGGTCTTACCTCGACACCGTGTCCGTGTCCCTGCCCCACTTGAATTTCTTCGCTTTCGCCTTCCAAAGACCCACTCCTAGTGAAAGGCATAAAACGGGTCAGTACTAGAATTCTCTATATAGTGTGCCACCTTCGCAACCTTTGAGAGAATCTTGAAGATGGCATTCAATAAATGCCAAGAAGTTAATGTACAACAGGTTTGTGATTCCTTCAAATTTGATTTCTGCGCTACTGACGTTGTTGCAAGTTCAAAACAGAGTGCCAATTCTGCTCAAGTCCAGTTATTCGATAAAGTTGTGGCTAGTATCGCTTCGCAGACGGAAAGGAACGAAGTCTTGCGGCCATAAGGTAGACGATTTCCCATTAAATTCAAGTTTTGTTTAACTGAAGAAGGATTTGCGGCATTATGAAGTCGTAAGGCACGGAATTGGGTATTGAGGATATTAGTAGTTACCTTCCGAGTATGGACTTTTAAAGATTGGCAACATGTGAACCCCAATTTTTATTTTTTTTAAATAACACAACTTCAGCCTGGAAAGGAGAAAAGACCATGACAAGAATCCGGGTGACCAGCAGAACCCACGTTATGGCAGTTTGAACAAAATCTGGGTGGGAAGATGGAACAAATTGTTCCCCATTCTTCCCGATCCTGCTTTCTTCCAGAATTAGGAGATTTTCACGAGACTGGCGCCTCCGAGTCATGGTACTTGCCCAGCTTGAAAAGCTTCTTGGCATTTTCGCGTCCAACCTTTACATAATTTCCTGTACCGCCCAAAGCTTTTTTGATGTTTTCGGAATCTTTATCCCACCATCCGCAACCGTTTTCGATGGTTTCGTAAGGGTAATCCACACTGAAAAGGATCCGGTCTGGTCCCAAGTATTCCGCAACATACTTGAGAGTGGGTGTCGAGAAGTGGCCGCTGGTAGTAAGATAGATATTGTTCTTGAAGTAGTAATAAATATCCTTCTTACTCATCACATCGCCAGCCTTCTTGGCGAGGGGTCGCTCAACATCCTCTAGCCAATGATTGATACGCCAGAAGTCGAATGGAATATGTTCGCCAAGATGGCCAACGATGACGTTCAGATTTGGGAAGCGATCAAAGACACCATTGGTGATCAGGCCCAACAGGTGAAGTGAAACACCATTGGCAAAGCTCAACGGAGGTCCAACGAGGTACTTCCGCTGGGCATATTGCTGCTGGTAGTACTTTCCCATTGGTGCAGCAGGGTGAATGTAGATGGGAACATCCAATTCACAAACCACCTTCCAGAATGCGTCATAGGCTGGTTGATCATAAAAAAGATAGGTTTCACCATCAGGTCCGGCATGCTGGACATCGTTGAGCAAGGCTCCGTGGAAACCGAGATCTTTCACGCAGCGCGTAAGCTCCTTGCCTGCCTGAACTGGGTCATGCATGGACAAGGCTGCGAAGGCTCCGAGACGGTCGCGGTGATCCTTGGTTTCCTTGTGGATATAATCGTTGACAACTGTGGCATGTTTTTCGGCAGTCTTTGGGTCTGTGATACCTTGAATACCGGGAACGGTCAAGGAGCAGATTGTGTAGCCGATTCCATGAGCATCGGAAACCTTCAGGCGCTCTCCGGAGATGGACTTGATCTGGCGCATGTATCGTTCGAGATCAGGTGGAGCGATGTACAAAGCCGCCTGATCACGGCTCTGGTCTGCCAGCTCCGGAATCTCATATGCTTCCTCCAAGGAAATTTTGCCGAGCATATTGGTTGTATAGTTACAAAATGACTTGTAGATAAAAGTATTCGAAGATAATGGTTGATCTACAGTAAAAAGATAGAGATCAGGGATCCTTTTATGTCAACAAAATAGCCATGTCATGATGTCATTTACAAAATATAGTTTACGCAGTGATAACGCATACCGGCCAGGCCCAATTTGTACAATTTGTGACATGGCGCATGGTGGTTTGAATCTGATTTTTTCAAGCTCTTTAGAGGACTCGATTGAGTTTGATTGAAATTTGGTAGGGATGTAAGCCCTGGATCCGGCCTTGATATCTTGGCAATGGCTCTATGATTTATATACGCTTCCGATATTTTCTCACCTCCCAAGCCCGATTGCTTCTAATGCCAGCTGATAAGCTTTCGATCGAGTGAAGTATAGTCCGTCCCTTGGATAATGTCAAATTGGATATGATAGCTTAGGATAGTCGGACGCATCATCTTACGGGCATATGCGCGTCATGAGTTAATGTTTTGCCGCTACCATTATACTTTTTCATTTCTGGATCAAGTGTTTCTTAATACAGTATGCTGATAGCTAGTGGTTCCCAATTCAAAATGACGTTTATAAAGATTTTTTTGATAAAATCCCTACTGAAAGCATCAATCCGGTCTCTGCGCACTCTCACTATCAGTCTACTCGTAAACTGAAATAAATCATCGGGTGAAAGTTGAGATACGGGAGTACTGTACAAATATCTAGCAACCCACAGGATTTTGTTCGTGACAGATCTAGTCCCCAACCCTGAAGTCATATTTATTCTGAGCCTAATAAGTCTCAATTGCAGATACCAATAAGATGTTGCGTCCAAAATTTTCAGCTCAGCTATTATATCTTGTCTATGACATCATCTAAGCGTCGGACTCGGGAGTAGACCTGCCAATATAGGACCGGAAAAAAAATATTTTTGTCCAAGTCCCATTTGCCAAGATCCCATGGGATTTACTAAGCGAAATGGGATTCCCATGGGATTCCCATGGGATCCTATGGGAATCCCAGCTAGATCCCATGCCCCACATTTATTGCATAATTGCCTATATAGGAAATGTATAAAATAATGTAAATTACAAAGGTAATTTTGGCTGTTTTGTCTTTGTTTCACTTTTTGTTTACTTTCTGTTTACTTTATTTTCACTTTTTGTTTGCTTTATATATACTATTTCTTTGAATTAATAGTAGAAATTTTCTTAAAGAAGGGCATAAAAAGGTAGGAATATCCTCTGATTCCCCATTTTTTCTCCAGAGCTTCAGTATGGCGGACCCAGTTACTCATTGGGTTAATAACCAAACCCCTAACTTTAGCTGGTGTATTCATAGTTTTCGCCATTCTATTTCGCAGTATAATCCTGCTGATGATCGACCCTTTCGGATTCAATGTCAGATAAGTGGGGTT